AGCATTTCCAGCAACTTCTGTTTTGGTTCCTGATTTACAGCATCTGCAATTCTTTTGGTTTTCATGAACTGCCCCAAGTCTTTCTAGGAGAGGAATTAAGTTTATCTCTAAACTCAATGCTGGTGCCTTCTGAACTGAACTGAAAAACTTGCTGCTAAGCTGAATTTTTTAAAAATCTTCTGAATGGAAAATAGAATCAATGGCCTACATGTTTACTCTACCTGTTGTAACCGTCATAGAATAAACATTTTCCATTAACACTGCAGGCATTTTTAGGCACCTGCACTTTGATATATATTGTATCATGTCACTATTCCAGAAGGCCACTCTGACATTGCTTTTTTAAAAAGAAAACCCTTTGCGCAAATAACTGACACCCATATGTCACTATTTTGAAATCCAAACTCTGAGATAGATATTAATATAAATTATATGCTTGTCATCACAAAACTTGTAGCTTCAGATAACTTCATGTCTATCCTTCAAGGGTAGATAAGATCCAGAGGTTAAATTATTTTTAGTGTGTTGCTTGCTTTTTTGCTATTAAATTACTGAGTAACTATTCCCAATAGTTTTCTTTTCATCCATGCTTCCAGTGATTTCTGGGTTAGGGCAGAGAAAATTTGGAATGCTGTCTTTTAACTTTGGAAAATTAATTGTATGATTTTAATTTTGTTTTATTTTTCCATTAGATAATGAATGTCATAAATAAGTGTGCACACTGTGCTAACAGGTGTTAGAAATATCAATGCATTTCAAAGCTATAACCTTCTTGTTAATCGGATTTTCAATAAGTTCCTGTTGGGTGAAATGTGATGTTTTAAGTACATTGTGTGTATATCAAGGATTTATTTATTGATTTTGTTTTCATCTAATAGGTAAGCTTTTTGTCAAAACATGAAGAGCACTTCAGTAGAGGTTACAATTTGGAAGCCTGGTAACTTTTTTGTGCTCTGCAGTTGACTTACCTCACAGCCCAGAGGAGTGTTCCACATGAAAAAAAATATAAATTATCTCCACATATGTGCGTTTCTGTCATTTACTGCAATGTGCATTGTCCAAAAATTGATTTGGAAGGTCTTAGGACCTGAGAGTGCAACAGATAAACTTATTGCTACATGTGTAACTAAACCTTGTAGGAGAAAAATCTTCTGCCTGATCCTGTCCTGAGGCATGCAGTGATTGGTCTCCATATCCTAGGCTTCAACCAGATCCTTAATAGTTATCCAGAGAACTTTGAAGTTCTGGTGGATATGATGAGTGTGTGAGAATATGTGTATTAAATGCATGTGTGAAAACAGGATCGGGCTCCACTATATAGCCCTTCACAGTCAAATTGCCTGCCAGTGAATTCTGGTAATCCTACGTAGGAACTTTACCTGAGTTTTAGTCAGTAGCTAAGGTAAAAGTATAATAGGCTTAATAAGTGAAAGGCTAAGCAGGACCTGTAAGTAGCAGCAGAGAGCTGCAACTATCATCGTCACCTATCAACAAAAGTATCTTAAATATCTGATGGATTAGTGCATCCTTAAATCTAAATATAGTTAACTCCAGGTCAACTTAAGGGCGGCAATAATTCAGGGTTGCTAACACGAAGTAAAAATGATCTGCAATTAGCAGAGAGTGAAATGAGCACAAACAGGAAACAAATAAGTGAAATTTACATTTAAATCTGGAATCTTAAAGCTAGAGCTAATAATGGCAACCATGGCAGCTATAATCAAATGTTAAACGGGTCCATCTACTTCACCTACTCCTTTTTTAGGGAAGGAAATTTGCCATTCTTATCTGTTTTTGCTGATATGTGACTCCAGACCCATAGCAATCTGGTTGATTGTTAGCTCCACTCCAAAGGCACGCGTGGGTGGTCAGCAAATGCTGGCCTTGCCAGCAATACCCACATCCCACAACAAAAATAAAGGAAAAGAAATATCTCAATTCACTTTTACAGTTAGGAAAAACATTAACAGGGGGAAAACTGAGGTTTGAAGTACCTGAGCATTTAGTTCAAGGGTTGATTAAAGTAAGAGGGAGAGGGATGAGAGAAGCTTAATGGCTGAGGAGACATCGATGCTGGAGGACATAAAGCTGAAGAAGGTCATTATGACTTTGAAAATGTGGGAACAGATTTGGCTGTCGAGTCCCTGGGTCAGATTAGATCTTGGAGAGAACGGGACACTTTGGGTGTGAGGCTGTGTCAGCAGAAGCTTCTGTCTTTATTTATAGAAATTAAAGGCAGGGTGCTGAAGAGGTTGAATCTGTAATGTAGCTGATGGTGTTAGTGTTTTGGCAGGGCTGCAAGAAATTTAAATTAGCAATGGAGCAGGGTTTACTGAAGGGTGCTTGAGGTTGAATAGCACACAAAGGTTCTGCATTTTCTGGCCCAACAGACAGTGAGGTCAACGCAATCCACGCCCTCTTGCTGCTGTTTTCTTGTAGCTGCTACAGGCAGGACATCTGTCATGGGTTGTCTTGCGCCATCTTCAGACATTCGCTTTATGCATCATAGCTTTGCTGTGAGATAGAATAGTGTTGAAATCTTGTACGCTAGCTCTTGATTTTGGACAGGCAGTTTAGGAGTATTTTAAATATTGCAGGAGTTAGTGAGTTCATCCTTCCAGCTCAGAACTTGGATTTTTGTTCCGCCAAGTTAATTTAGCATTTAATATTACGAAGTTTGCTGTGGTTCTTCATGTGGGTGCTGAGATTTACTGGTGAACAGCCAGGATATGTATTGTATTCCTTTTGGCTTGGGGTGTAATTGTTGGGTGTTGTTTAACTTCAGCAAATTAGCAACTGCCCCACATTGCTGTTTTCTCAGTCCCTGATCATCTGTTTCCATTGTGTTTGTCACGTTTTCCGTTATCAGAAATAAACATGCGACATTCTTATAATAGAAATAGAGTCAGAATTCATTTCTTTAATTCATGTACACTCTTCCAGTTTCTGGACTGTATTCTTGGCCAGGTGCTAATTTTGAAATCCTGACTTAATCTAATTGAATTGTGGCTTGGCCCCAGATTGCCTCACCGGCATTGTATTTGGACTCGGGAAAGCTATGTTGCGGTCCGACTGGCTAAAACAAACCTCTGCTATGATAGACAATTGGAGATAGCATTCTGGAAGCTTTAAAGAAAAATCAAGGCTGAATTGCCAGGCCAAAGTTCTGCAGTATCCCTCTACTGTTACCCTCATTGAAGTCCTTTCTCTCTTCCAGCTGGTTGTCCCCATATTCGCTCCCCTTTTAACCCAAAGGGTACAGACTAAAATAGATGTAGTGGCCAACTGGTTTACATATTCATCACCTGATTTGACTGGTCATACAGAGCGCTATTGGATTCTGCTGCTATCACCCAAAACTATTTGCTACTTTGGGCATCATTCCAGAATGCATAGTGTTGAAATTATTTGATGAAGTAATACCCTGCAGGGAGTTGAGGTGATTAAAATAAACACTAAGAGCTGTTGCGGTTGGAATGCATTACAAATGGTTTGAACACCCCCTAAAACTTGAACAAAATTGAATCAAATTGTTCCTTTGACAGACTATTTGGAATGGTCTTGATTGGATTCTCTGCCTAATCCATTATATCATCTGACGAACAATGCTGGCAGCTATCTTCCACCTGGAAAAGCGGAAGACTTATCTAACCTTGCCTGGAACGGTCACCTTCCTGACTCTTTATTTATTTAAAGGCATTATTCATTTAGTTGGAAATTGATTGGACATTTGAGGTGGATGAAGCATGAAAAAGGAGAATTCCCTCTAATTTAGCTATAGTGTTGGGTGTAAACTCTTTCTGCTCTTTTGCTGGGTGTTGAATTCTAAACGTGAACTATGTTAGAAATATTGCAGAACACTATGCCATTTAATAGAAAGTGAGTGAGATGCAGCCCTGTATTTTAACCAGAGCTCACTGGATTCCAGGAAGGTTCCTGCAGATTCAGAAAGTGTTAATGTGACATCCTCTCCCCCACCCCTGCTCCATTCAAGAACGGAGGGAGACACAAAGCCAGAAACTACAGGTCAATTAGCCTAACGTCTGTTGTTGGGAAAAGGCTAGAGTCCATTTATTAAGAAAGAAATAGGGCACTTAGATGTGTTAAGAAATATAGGTAGGTTGTGTGAGTGGACAAAAAGCTTTGCATGTGGAATTTAATGTAGAAAGTGTGAGGTTATGCACATTGGTAGGAATAATCCAAAAGGCAGACTAATATTTAAATGGAGACAAAGATTCCCAATAAGTGTAGTGCAGAGGAAACTCAAAAGGTTTGCATGCAGTAAGTAATTAAGAATGCAAATGGAATGTTATCCTTTAATGCTAGGAGATTGTAGTTTAAAATAGGGAAGCCTTGCTACAACTTATTGGTGAGGCTGCACATGGAGTACAGTGTAAAGTTTTGTTCCTGTTTTCAAAAAAAAATGCTAGCATTGGAGATAGCAAGAACTGCAGATGCTGGAGTCAGATAACCGTGTGGAGCTGGAGAAGCACAGCAGGCCAGGCTGCATCAGAGGAGCAGGAAAGCTGACGTTTCGGGCCTAGACCCTTCTTCAGAAAGGTCTAGGCCCGGTCTAGGCCCGAAACGTCAGCTTTCCTGCTGCTTGGCCTGCTGTGTTCATCCAGCTCTACATCTTGTAGAGTAGTAATCAGCAAGTATCTCCACTTCCATCTTCACGATAGACAGAAGGTCATTGATGGTGCAGCTAGAGTTGGTTGGGTCGTGGACACCACCCTGAGGAATTCATGCAGAGATGTCCAGAAGCTGCGATTACTGACCTCCAACTGCATTCATCATTTTTAGTGATAGATCTTAGTTTAACTAGTAGAGAAGTTCTCCAATTCTCTTTGCTAGGGCTTGATCAATTACAACCTTGATGTTAGTGGCAGTCTGAAGTTCTCATTTCAGGTATTTTGCCTATGTTGGAACGCAAACTGTAATGTGGTTGAGAGCTGAGTAGCTCTTGCAGAATCCAAGTTCAGCATCAAGTGTTGTGAGGAAAGACCAAGTGAAGAGTAAACTTTTAAGAAATGAAAGAAGCCTCTTTTATGTGGAACATCCAAGAGATACCAACATAAGTAAATCTGAAGTATTGTTTTTCTAAACTGTGCCAGGGATGAGAAGTTACTAGTAGACAAATATATTACTTCAGTGTTAAAAATGTGGACTGGAAGGTGGAGATGTTGGAACTCAACAAAAGAATACTGTTGTTGGTGGGATGCTGAAGGTATTTTCCAAGTGAATTAACTAAAATGAACCTCCTTGTATGCCTTGAGTTAAGGGATGATGTTATTGGTGTAACTCTTGGCCAGCTATTCCTTACACAGTCTGAACTCGTAGGTTCAAAGGTATGTTGACTCTATCCGAACCCACCTTTCAGGTTTCTTTCGTGCATCATTGCTGTGTTTAAAGACTTTAGCTTCCAGTCCGTCAATACCCCGCATTTAAAAATTCTTGCCCATGTGTTCAAATCCCTCCAGACCTTCCCTATCTGCAACCTCCTGTAGCGCTCTTACCCTCTAAGAACTCTGCATTCCTTCACCTCTGATTATTTGTCAATCCCTTTGCCTCACCAGTGCTTTGGCGCTTTCAGCCATCTACACCACAGGTTTTGCAACTTCATTTTAAAACTCTCCTAAAAATCCACTTCTTGGACAAAGCTTTTAGTTCACTGTTCCTGATGTCGCCTTCCTTGGCTTGGTGTCGATTTTTTTTTTCTTTTGTCTAACTATACTTTGTTGAGTTGCCTCCAAATGTTTTTAGAAACAGGTACATTCAAAGTTCTGAAGAACTGAGGGTTGTAGTGTTACAGCTGGAGCTTAATTTTCCCCAACGAAGACTTTTTTGTTTTCCTTGGCACTAGATATTGGATACAAAAGAATATCCCAAGCCCCAGCACTAACATTCCCTTATTAGGAAAGGTTATTGATCTGAAACATTAACTCCGTTTGTACCTTCAAGGATGATCCCAGACCTGCTAAGTGGCTCCCTCACCTGGAAGGAAGATAAAAGCTACCATCCATTTTTAAAAACTGGGCCAAGAGCATTTATTAGTTTGAAGCTAAACAGTCTGCAGTGTTTCCATGATATGCACTTCATATTAAGTGAAACTTACAGTCCCAGAGGAGACACCTGTGCATTATGACTTGAACTGATTAAAAATATATAATAGTGATCTGATTGACATTGCAGTAATTGTAACCGAATCACACCTGTCAGAGTAACTGCATTCTAAGTCAGCCTCTACTTGGAGAAGCCAAAACTGCATGCAAGCACACACAGGTGCATTCAAAGTCATTGTACTTTCTTTTTGATGCTTAACTGGCACTGGAAAGGCCACATTAAATGCCCATCCTTAGTATTATGAGGAGCTAATGATGGGCCATGACCTTGCTCCAGTGTGGCACTTGTGATTTCATGCTCTCATGATGATGTGGGCATTCCAGGATTTTTACCCAGTGACGCTGAAGGAACAGTGACATTTTTAGTGACAAGCCAGTGGAAGTTAATGAATTTTATTCAGTGAATAAAATCTGGGATTGAAAGCTCGTCCCAGTAATGATACAATGAAATTATTGTTATTTATTCTAAAAGACTGGTTCACTAATGTAGGCTAGACTGAAACAGTGTTTGACTCCAGATTCACGCTAATGTGCTTGACACTTAACTGACCTTTGAAGTGGCCGAGCAAATGACGTGTTCAAGGGGCACGTGGGGATGGGCAACAATGCTGACCAGACCAGTGACTTCCATATAATATTTAAGAAAAGCTATAGTGTGATCTAGTGGAGTAGAGGTGGGTGATAGTGTTGCAACTTGTTTTTGAGTGATTAAAAGTCATTGGACAGGGTGGTTTTATCACTTGACATTTTGAATACTTCTGTTGGTACTAGGACTTAGCTGAAGAGTGAGAAAGACGTATGTGCATTTTTCACAATTTGCTAGAACTGTGTAAAGAAAGCACCTGGTGATATAATTGTTGTCTTTATTCCAACCTTGGATTCCTTACTGGTAAGATCATTTTAAGAGTTTTCAACGCTGATGTATTTTTCCTAACAAGGCTATCATAGGGTATGGTAGAAACATGAGATGCTTTTTTAAAAAGATAGGACCTAAAGAGGAACAAGAGTAGGTCATTCAGCCCCTTGAGCCTGTTCCACCATTCAGAGATCTTGGCTTACCTGTGACCTTTGGTCAGTGTCCTTTAATACCTTCGCTTAACAAAAAATATCTCTCTCAGATTTAAAGTGAACAATTCACCTAGCATCTACTGCCATTTGTGGAAGAGTTCCAAACATGTGGCTTTCCCAGTGTTAGTCAACATTATTGAATGGTTAAATGATATTTATAATGAAAATCTAAGCTGCGTAGTTCTGTGAGATTTCAGCTGATGCGTTGGAATGGATGCTGTTGAGAGGAAAATGAGGGAAAGATCTAGCTGGGTGCATATATCTAACTGCTTTGGGTGATCCCTGCAGGAAGTTCAGATATTAACTGAGAATTCTTTCTGGGCTTCTTTCTTTATTCATTCATGGATGAGGGCATCGCTGGCTAGGCAGCATTTATTGCCCATCCCTAATTGCCCAGAGGGCAGTTAAGAGCCAACCATGTTGCTATGGGTCTGGAGTCACATGTAGGCCAGACCGGTAAGGATGGTAGTTCCCTTCCCTAAAGGATGTTAGTGAACCAGATGGGTTTTTCCGACAATCGATTAAAGGTCGTCATTAGATTCTTAATTCCAGATATTTATCGAATTCAAATTCCACTATCTGCCGTGGCGGGATTTGGGCCTGGGTCCCCAGAATGTTATCTGGGTCTCTGGTTAACAGTCCAGCAATAATACCACTAGGCCATTGCCTCTTCCTAGGTTTACGGCACCCAAAGATCTATACCCTGATCGTACGTACAGTAGATTTCTTTTGGAGGAATGGAGAGTTGGTGGGAAGGAGAGGAACTTGTGTGAGAAGCACATAGGGTAATATTGAATGTTTACATATGACTTTATTTCCCCAAACCCTGATGCCAGTACACTAACTGGGTCGAGCAGGAACACTGGGGACTGCTTCAGTGTTATTTTGATAAAGGGGTGAACACAGGCCTGCAGTTCATAATACTCTTAAATCTCTTTTTAATAGTATGTGTGATATGTCTTGTAGTGTGCACAAGGAGGATTAGAAGACCCAAAGACAATAACACACCACAAACTCATTCACGCTACATCAGAGCGGGTCCTGTCGGACACAAAGACTGTCATTGAGGAGAACCTCCAGGATAAAGGTGAGTGCCCGAGCATAACGGAGGGAGCAGATGTCTTAGGGCAGAGGGCAACATGACATTTGCCACATTATTTCTCTGAAATCATGCAGCCTGTATTTTGGATGAGCAGCAAGTTCATTTGTGAATGTATGGCCCTGTCAATCTTAGGCCTTATTCCTGCTATAGTAACCTGTGGAGTAACAGATGGCTGGAAGTGTGTTGCATGGAGAGTAACAGATGGTAGGTTGGGTAATATGGTTGAGTGGTTTAGATCAACTAAGCACCTGATTCGATCAACCGCGTGTGAAGAATGAGTTGCAACTTAAAGATCCTTGTAATCGTCTATTATTTTTATCAAGTTTCATTGGATGATTTCCTCCTTTTTTAAATTATTAATTTTGAGTTTCAAACTTGAAGAAGAGTTTTTGCAGGGCAGCTTCTCATGTTGTATTGGAAATGTAAACCATTGAAGTTAAAGTAGGAGGTGAGACAGCAAAGTTAAAAAGAAGTTGGTGATGTGGTGAGCTAGGGTTTTCATCTTAGTGAAGCTATTGTAATTCTCTGCATTCTTGGGTTAGGGCATTCACTTGTGATTCTCATTCACCAGTTTCTAGTGAAGACAGCTACAAGAATAGTTTTTATTTTGTAGATTCACTGGCATCACTGGATGGGCCAACCTTTATTGACCATGCTTAGTTGTCCTTGAAAGTGTGGTGCTGAGCTATTTTCTTGAACTACTACAGTTCACTTGGTGTAGGTGCACCCATAATCTATCTACCTTCATGGTAATCAAAAACCTATCTACCTCTGTCTGAAAATATTTAAGGATTCTGCATTTACTCCCTGAGAAAGGGAATTCCAAAGACTGTCAATGCTCAGAAAGTGGGTAACTCCTTATTTTTAAAGTATGACCCGTAGTTCTAAGATTCTCCCACAAGAGGAAACCTCCTTTCCACATGCAGCTGGTCATCCTGTCAGGATCTCGTGTTTCAATTAAGTCACCTCAGACTCTTCTATAGTCTAGAGGATACAGGCCTATTCTGTGTAGCCTTTCCCCATAAGGCAATCTGCTCATTTCAGATATTAGTCTAATAAACCTTCTCTAAACTGCTTCCAATGCTTCAAGACCTTGCTTTTATTTCAAATCTCCTCCATCTGCAGTACAAAGTTATTTGATTTTATTAGTTTAAGCGTGTTTAATAGATATTTTTAATCTGCCTTCTCGGGTATGTTATGGCACACATCTGGAGTAGGTGGGAACTTAACATTGGCCTTCTAGCCTGAGGTAGGGACACTGTGACTACATTATGAGCCCTTCTGAGGGTGTTTAATATGCCCTGGCTAATTCCTTTAGCTGATTGAGATAGTGATTACCCAGCCTATCTTCTTGTAATAGTTAAAATAGGGGGAAACATCTGAGTAATCTCTCCAGCTAATGCATTATCTGCCACGCGTGTTCATGATGCCCTTTGACTTTTGTTCCAGATGTTTTATTATTAATTAAAAAGCGAGCACCTGCTGCTCCTCCCAAGATGGCTGATGTGTCTGCTGAAGAAAAGGTAAAAACACTCTTCTATTTTCATATTTAAACCAATCTAAATCCTAGTTATGTTGAAGCAACCAATATAAGAAACACTGTACATCTTCTGTATTTTATCAGGATTGTTGGCTTAAAAAGTATATGGCATGGAAACAGACCCTAGTTTTGAACTCTCCCATCCTAGGGAAAAGACCTTATCTATGTCCCTCATGATTTTATAAACCTCTATAAGGTCACCCCTCAAACTCTTGCACCCCAGTGGAAAAAGTCCCAGCCTATTCAGCTTCCCCTTATAACTGAAACCCTCCAGTCTTGGCAACATCTTTGTAAATCTTTTCTGAACCCTCTCCAGCTTAATAATATCCTTCCTATAGCAGGGTGACTGGAACTTTACACAGTACTCCAAAAGTGGCCTCACCAACATCCTGTACAACCCCAACATGACATCCCGACTCCTTTATTCAATGATCTGAGTAATGAAGACAGGTACTAAATGCTTTCTTAACCGCCCTGTCTACCTGTGACACAACTTTCAAAGAACTATGTACTTGAACCCCCAGGTGTCTCTGTTCGACAGCACTACCCAGGGACCTACCATTAACTGGTGGTTCACAATTTAAGGAGCAATAACTGAGTTTTCTGTATGTTCAATCCAAGCGGTATTTGAAATCTGTTTGTCTCAAACAGCTGTTGAGAGCTGTATGGCTAGTTGTCTCATGGGATATGGTCTAGGGCAGCAATTATTGAACATCCCTAAATACCCAAAGGGCAATTAAGAGTCTGCTTTGGGCCATGTAGGTCAGACACAGTAAGGAAGTCAGATTTCCTTTCTTAAAGACATTAATGAATCAGATCAGCTTGTTGTTTAATAAAAACACTACCTTTTTATTCCAGATTCTTTTGTTGAATTTAAATTTCACATCTGTCGTGGTGGGATTTGAATCTCTGTTCCCAGTGCCTGGGCTTGTGGGTCATTAGTCTAGTGATTTTACACTACTCCACTAGCATTCTTCTTGACTCTCCCTGTGTCACGTATTCACTTTTCATAAATTGCAGTCATCGCACTTTATAAACTTTTGCCTTTCCCTTTCTATCAGAAGAAACAAGAGCAAAAGGCGCCAGATAAAGAGGCCATCATGAAGGTAACAGCTCAACTTGTTGCTCGGCAAGCTGACCGGGTGGTTACCCAGCACAACCTGCGAGATGTATGTGACTCATTTTATTTACATCACTTATTGAAAAAGTTACTTTTAAAACCCAATATGTTTCATAGCACATCTAAAATAAATCTTAGAATCAAAATCCAATTTGATCTACTTTTCTTATGATTTCCTATATATTGCCAGCAGACTCGGTGTGAATGGAGCGTGACATGTTTACATAGACAGTTTCTAGTAGAATCTTTTATGCGTGTATCGTATGAAACTTATAGTCAAAATATAAACACAATGTGTTTACTAATTAAATGGATTTGAATTCTTTGAGTATTATAGTCCAATTGTGCTTCAGTAGTGGAATCAGCATTTGCATGAAAGCAATGGGTATGTCCTACTGAGTACTGACCACAGCAGAAGACATTCAATCAAGCCAGTCATCCTTTTTGCCCTTGATCTTGGTTCCACATGTGCAGTGCTACAAGAGCACTGAATGAAACTCTCCTCTGCATTTGCCAATTGTGTTTCTGAACTTTTATTGTTGATTTGCTACAATCCGTGTTAGTCTGATACTTGTTTCTTTTGAGTTGAAAAGTTACATACATATATCTCAGTAAGGTGTAAATTCCCTTGTATTAGCACCATTTTGTTATGGGGAAGAAGGATTTAAATTGTCACTTTTTCTGTGTTCAAGTGATGTGGATAATATTGGGCTTTACTTGGGCGGTCCTGCTCATCTTAATGCTTCAGTTTGTCTTTAGTGCCATTGCAGCAGCTGTCGAAGCATTAGTGTAATTTTTAATTTGTACTGTGAATTGGGTGAGGGCCAATACCACCAACTCTGCAACTGAGGCCTATGTGAATTTAACTCCTGGTTCTTACCTGTGTGCCCCACATCATTTGCGAGTTGAAATGAGCAGCGTGTATTGGGTGAACAAAGAGCAGTCCCTTGCCATCAATAAAGGCACAAGCAGTTTTGGTCAACTGAACAGGTTAAAACTGCACTGATCAGGGAGGGAGCTTGATAGCAGCTGTCAAGATTCTGACCGGACTCTCATTTTTTTCTGTCCTGCTTGATTTTTTTTTAAACTGCCTGCCTGCCTAGTTTCTATTAATCTTAACCCTATTGTAAGCAAAATTCCAATCACACAGGAACTGGAGTAAGCCATTCAGCTCAGCAAGCGTGCCTCGCTCTTGTAGATAATGGCTGATTGCCTCCTCAATGCCACATTCCTGCATTGTCTCCAGATCTATCAATTTGTCTTGAACCTACTCTGTAATTGAGTATACACAGCCAAGTGCAGTAAAGAACTCCAAAGATTCACCCCCCCACCATGAAGAAATTCCTCCTCATCCTCATCTTAGGTAGCCAACCCATCATCCTGAGATTATGTCCTCTGGTTCTATTGTTACCAGTTTGCGAAACATCCTATTTGTATTTGATACATTTCAATGAGAGTAACTCTCGTGCTTTGAAACTCTAGGGAATACAGACCTACTTTACTCAATTGCTGCATAATCAGTAGGGTGACCGGTTGGTCTTAATATGTTAAACTTCTATTGAACTCTCTCTATGACGAGTATATCGCTTCCTCAAATAAGCAGGCCATAACTGTATACAGTATTCCAGTTGTGGTCTCATCAAGGCTCTGCAACTGCAACTAGACAACTTTGTTTTTATATTCATACTCTATACTTCTACACTTTGTCTTCCAAGTTTATTGCACCTTCATGCTAGCTTTTAATGATGCATGGTCAAGGACATCCAGATCCCTGTGAACACCTACACGTTCAAAACTGATTCATAGTATAGCTGACGGTATTACTACAGTTTGGTGTCCTATAAACGACACTCAACTAGTGTTTGTTTCCACATGCTGTTTTGTAGCTCCATTCGAACTAATTCTACACCTTGATCCTTCCATCTGAGATCCTGTCTTAAAATGTACTGATCTCATCCCTTAGGAGTGCTGCCCCCAGCTCCTTCACCTTTTGCATGTTCCTCCTGGAGAAACATAGAATATCCTTGGACTAATAAACCTCCCTGTGAGGATGTTAGTTCCGATCCTGCCAAGATATTATCCATTCATCCTGCGCAAGATTGGGTTCCAATCTGCAGCCATCACATTCAGTTGCTCAGTTTTCTTTTTTTTATGCTCACTGTCATGTGGGACTCAGTAATCCTGAGATTACTGATTGGAGAGCCTATTTTTCAATCTCTTTTCTAGCTCCTTGTAATCTGCATCCAGGACCTCATTCCCCTTCCGACCTAAGATGTGGAGGTGCTGGTGTTGGGCTGGGGTGGACAAAGTCAGAAGTCTGCACAACCAGGTTATAGTCCAACAGGTTTATTTGAAATCTCAAGCTTTCAGAGAGCTGCTGTTTTGTCAGGGGAAGACAACATGTCATCTGACCAGAACACTTCACCTCATGAAGAAGCAATGCTCCAAAAGCTTGTGATTTCAAATAAATCTGTTAGACTATAACCTGTTGTTGTGTGACTTCTGACTTCGTACCTAAGTTGTAGGTACTGACATGAACCATGATCATTGACCGATTTTCTTTCCCACCCCACCCCACCTTGAATAATCGCCTGTAGATGTCCTATGACATCCCTTGAATCTAGCAAGAGGGAAGCACCATGCCATCCTTACAGCTGCAGAAATAATGCCTTTCTGTTCCCCTTGCTAAAGAATCCCCCTATCAGTACAGCTCTTCCACTCTTCTTCCTCCCCTCCTGTACAGTTGAACCATCCATGGTGTTGCTCATTTGGCTGTGCTGCACACCTCTGAAGACCAGTATCCAAAATGGAAACTGATTTGCAAGCAAGATCATGTCAAGGTACACCTTCACCTGCCTTGTTCTCTTGGACTGCTTGGTGATCACCCATTTCCTATCTCCCTGCACACCCCTAAACTGCAGCGCTATCACTCCCTAAACATGCTAACCACGAAGTCCTCTTGTGGATGCACAACGGTGACTTTAACTGGATTCTGGAATCCAGAGCTCAAGCTTGTGCAGACGGTGTCACTTTCAGCAGATGTGTTTGCCTTTCACTCATGGTGCCGTTCCCATTATTTCCCACATTCCACAGACTGTACATTCCACTGGACCAAACTGATGTGCTGTATTTTAACTGCACTGACCATTTATTGGAAGTAGTTTAGCATACCAATTACCCATCAACCAGCTCCTTCCACCACATTGAAGCAGGAGCTGGATTGTGAAGAAAAGAGATAAAGGAAAGGGAATGGGGGGAAAATACATTCCCCACCCCACCCCCCAACTACTGACTCATTACTGGACAAACTCTCCCTGCTTGGAATCTCACTTGCAATCTTCTATTCTATAGATCTGCATGGGAGAAAAAAGAGACCGAGCCACTTCACCTAATTTATCAGCTATCTCCAGCAGAGCTCGTTTACCCTGCCTAAGAATTGAAGAAGCTTCCTTCTTACCTTTAATTCTGAGCACATTAAAATCCAGTTAAGTGGTAGCTAACTGCCACACTTTGAGGAAGAAATTGACACACAACTTGCCAAATTCTCATTGCTTGAAATTAATATTCCTTTCAACATGATGCCGACTGCCTCTGGTTCCTCCTTTTACTCTCACCCTTCTAAAGTAATGAGTAGCAACTGCAGGAGATGAGTTACTGGGCACTCTCAAGTTTTGAGCTATAGCGGGGAGCAGTGAATGGGAGGAGCTGGTTGATGATGGTAATTCATTAATTGAGAATAATTTTTAAACTGACATGTAATTTCTAGTTTCAGACAGAACTCAGGAAAATCCTTGTTTCCCTAATAGAAGTGGCACAGAAACTGCTAGCTCTAAATCCAGATGCTGTTGAACTATTTAAAAAGGCAAATGGTAAGAAGCCTAATCTACTTGTGCAGGACCAAATCAGCTGTTTATATCTGGCTCTGTTTTTAATTGCTATCCACATATCTTTGTATCTTGAGTATTTTTATAATTATTTGTATATATTCTTGTAGCCGCAGTGGTTAAGTGTGGATCAGGAAGGGCCACGGTTTATGTTCACTACGGCAATTTGGGTAGGGCAGTGGCAGAACAATGCAATCAGCCTCAGCATCCCCAGGGCCTGAAGGGGGAATAATAATCAGCAGCAGCTGTCAGAAGGTATATGTATGGTGTTTTGATGAATAATTGTATTGGACTTGGTTGTAAACCTCCTGCTGGACACTGTGTTGAGTAGCATTGGAAGCACTCCAGTGAAATGCCCCTATACAAATGTTCACTCAGATGTTATTCCAGGGATCTGAGGTATATGTTTAATTTTACTCAACCAGGATTCACTGAGCGTGTGTGAAAGAATGAGGTCCAAATGAGTAGCAAAGGCTGAATTAAAGCTAAAGCAGAAAAATTATCCTTAGGAGTAGGTACAGTCCTGTGAATGGTCACAGAGACTTGGGGAACTTGTAAGGGGAGATACTTGTGCTCTTCCTGTTACCCTTAACTTTTGTCTTTGTCTAACAACACATTGCATAAAGAAGACTGCAAGGACAATGGAAAGATGGGTCATCAGAGTTTTGACTTTGAAGGGATTTGAGAGGGCCCCTGAGACTGCAGGAAGCTTTTTGCACTTTGCTGTTTTTGCTGGCTTGCTATCTATGTTGTTATAAACTGACTGAAAGCATTTACTGCAGTAACAGCGAAGGTGTCCTCCAGGTAGAGATAATCCTGACTTTTTGAACTTATTGTTGGGGCATTTGCAAGTATCGGATTTTACAGGGGTTATAGTTCTCGCACAAAAGTAAGTGTTTCCAAAAAAAAAAATTTGTACAGTTACCTCCATTTGGTTTTATTAGAGGTGATGCTCTAGTTATCCCTGATTCAAGTTAGTGCTATAGTAATGTGAGACAATACCTATTCCCAAGGCATCTGTGTAATAGGCACACTCTCCAAGCAAGGTTGATCCAGGAACTGTACAGGTGTCTGCATTTGAGATAAAATTCAAGGCAGTTCTATTTAATCCTTATTGATGTAGCAAAAGCAATCAGTGCTGTTTAACATTACATGTCAAGTTGTATGCATGTTTTATAAAATGTTCATCCAGATTTATCATTATGCAGGCTATTTCAGTGCTTGAACTGTAGAACTTGAGATCATTCAATTATTGATGCACAATGCTATTTCAACAGGTTTTGGGTATTTCAAAGCTGTCAACTGGAGTGTAACAGTTTGCATTTATGAAATTTTTTTTGGGATGGAAATTGTCAAGAAACAATAGGTTATAAAATAGAGGAAAGTAAACTAAAGCAATTTGGAGTGTTCATAATTTCCATTATGATTCATATTGCTGAATCCTTCCACTCAAATCCAAGCCAGACCGGGATGTAATGGTTCAATTGACAAGGGTTAGTTCAGCTGAGGAATAGTGTAGGATTTTGTTTTCTTTTTAATCAACTCATCACTTGGGGAATACTGTGGTATTTGAAGAACTTGAAGACTTGATTAATCACTGGGAGGATGGGTAAACCTATGACCATTCATTTTCCAGCAGTTAGAAGCAGTAAACCTGAATCGGAGCCAACTCTCCCTCACTCATCTGTTCGTGAAAAAGTACACCGTTTGTAGCTAGAGTTGGAAGAACTCAGAGGAAGTACCATAATGTGATTTATATTGAAAGAAAACAGTGGTATTCACTTTTCAGTGACCTTGGCGTATCTGAATAGCTCTTGAGACAATTGATGTAGTAATTTTTAATACCTTTTTTAGTACATTCGTGGAATCCGAATTTTGCTGACTAGAATTTCATTTATTGCCCATTCCTAAGTACCCTGGATTTTGACTGGGCTGAGAGTGCATGGCTTGTTTCAGAATGAACATTTTCATGCAAGTATTACTAATAGATTTTCCCCTTTGGCAGCAATGTTGGATGAAGATGAGGAGGACCGAGTGGATGAGGCAGCACTACGCCAGCTGACTGAGATGGGCTTCCCTGAGAGTCGAGCGGTGAAAGCACTGCGGCTGAATCAGTGAGTTCACTTTAAGAAATCTTTTTGCTGTCTGTTTGTGGGAGAAGGGTTCCCTTTTGGACGTTTATGGTTCTTGTACAAACTGTTTGTGTAGCAAAGATCACCTATAAACAGTGTCTTGCATTGCATAGTTCTGTCTCTTCTTGGTAACTCCATGTGTTGAGGGTTGACAAGCCAGGATTTTTATAGAAGGATGAGAGATTTATTTTTATATATAGAATCCCTACAGTGTGGAAACAGGCCATTCGACCCAACAAGTCCACACCGACACTCCGAAGATCATCCCACCCCTCTAACACTGCATTTCCCACGGCTAATCCAGCCAACCTACACATCCCTGGACGGTAAGGGGCAACTTAGCATGGCCAATCCACCTAACCTGCACATCTTTGGACTGTGGGAGGAAACCAACGTAGACACGGGGAGAATGTGCAAACTCCACAAAGACAGTCGCCTGAGGCTGGAATTGAATCCGCGTCCCTGGCGCTGTGAGGCAGTAGTGTTAACCACTGAACCAGCACGCCTCCCCAAACAAAGACTGACACAATCGGGAAGTGCTCATTTTGCTGAAATCCAGAATTGGACCAGGGACCTTTTTAGATCCTCAGTCTAATGCTCTCCCAACTGAGCTATTTCGGCTGGTATTTTGATTAAGTTCAGTAGGATACTTTCTGTGTTTTATTTACACAGTCATAAAGCACTTGAAAAAAGGTCTTGGTAGGTTGTTTATTCAAAGGAGGTTCCTCCCTATTTCCTCCTGCCCTCTAAGGAGAAAATAACCTGGTTGCAAATCTTTTTTCAAGAAAATCAACATGCTAATTTTATCCCAGCAAGGGGGCTATCAAATGATTTGCCTCCCTGCTAAACTGCTTTGATAATCTACCCTTGAGACTGGAACAAAGGAAAATATTCACATGACTCAAGATTATTCACTGCACCCAAAAAGTAAATATACTTTCAGGTTGGTTAAAACAGTGACATTTGGAATACCCATGTAAACGGTGCAGAAACTTGGTTCCATTTCTAAACCTGACTCTGCTCCATTTCTTTAAACCTTTTCAATTCATGGAAGAATCTAACCAGTGGCAGACTGTGTTACCAGCTGGAATGCTGTGATGCGAAATGCAGTATAACTGTAGAGTGGGGGTGCTTGTACATTCAACTACACTGAGGATTGATGTCAGATACCAAATTGTAGGTGTTCCCTTCTCTCTTACAGTATGTCTGTGACACAGGCCATGGAGTGGCTAATTGAACATGCAGAGGATCCAACAATCGACGCACCACTGCCTGGGGATGGGGCAGCTGGAGGGTCCAGAGCTGTTGCAAGGGATGCAAAGCCAGAAACTGTCAATGAAATTGCCAAACAAGATGAATTGACCGACATCTTTAAGAAGATCAGGCGGAAACGAGAATTCCGACCAGAACCCAGAGTGAGCAGAATTAATTTACTTCAATTTGTGGAATGGATGGAATTCTCCTTGCACCTCGAATACTAGTTTTTGTAGACTTTGGGGTGCTTTCTGTAGTATAATATAATACAACTGAAAGTTGGGGTGCATAGTTTTCCCAGAAAAGTAATATTAATGAACCATAAAAAACATGGAGCTATGAGACTGACTGACTATATTTCATTTCAAAATCTCCCATTTTATCTTGCCGTTATGAGTATTTTCCTGTTGCACCAGTGCTACGTATGATCAACTCAATCAGCTGATGTTTGTCATCACGATTCCAATCAATGTACACATGCCTTTGGTAAGTCATTGTGCCTCAAAGATGTCAGTGCAGAGTTTGTTTGAGTTACGCAAGTAGTGATCAAATATCCCAGTAAGAAGAAGCCAAATCAGTATTAAAGTGGGAAGTTTCCTAATTCTGCCAGAATTCTGTTTTAGGGGATGGGTGAAATGGTGAGGGGTAAGATGCCCCAACATAGTTGAGCAACAACCTGGAACTGATGTTGAAGGTTTTGCATTTTAACTCCTGGCTATAATTTTGCTGACTAAATGCAAGAAGTTTGAGTTCTCTGTGATGACATGCTCGCTGTTCTGTGGTAGGCTGCATGTGTGAGGTTCTTGTCTGAGGATCTTATCGCTGATCGGCAACTGGTGCTGTATGTAACACTACCAATTTTGTTCAGCTAATTTCTGTATGTGTGGGGAGGGCCAAAGGATGATTGAATGTGCATTTAACACAATCAGCATCAGTGGATCAGGGCAGAATTGTTCTATTTATTGTAACATCCTACAGTGTAAAAGGATCTGTTCATAATTTTGCTACATGAGAGCAGCGTATTTTGTTCCGAAGAATGCTGTTTTGCAAATATTGCTGTTAAGGGTACTAAATGAAAATTTTACTGATCCCAGGTAGACTGTATTCAAGTAGCAGGGAATTTCAAAAAACTAGCAGCTCAAGACACGTGATATACAAATAGATGAACAATTAATTCTTTTTCTTCATAGGCTATGATTGCTCTGATGGAAATGGGATTTGATGAAAAAGAAGTAATAGACGCTTTGCGAGTCAACAACAACCAACAAGATGCTGCTGTAAGTGCACATTGGACACACCATTTAAGAAAACATTAAACTGTTTAAAAACTTGATCTATGAAGTTAAAGGTTTTTGTTTTAGTTACTGGATTTGTAATACATTAATAGGAGCAGCAGGAGGCCATTTGGCACCTCGAGCCTGATCTGTCATTCAACCAGATCATGGCTGAAAGATTTTCCTGCACTATGCCCATGTCACTTGGTATCTTTAATATCTATAAATCTTTAAATCTGTCTTGAATATACACAATTATTAGCCTCCACAGCCCTCTAGCGTAAAGAATTGTAAAGATTCATCACTCTCTGATTTTTTAAAAAAAAAAATTGTTCCATATCTCAGTCCTAAAATCCTAAGTCCTGAGACTGTGTCCTTGTTGTAGCCTGGTGCAATGCTCTTCTGGCATTTACCCTTTTGAGCCATGTAAGAATTGTACATATTTTAATGAGATGACCATCTCCCAATCTTCTAAACTGTAGAGAATTCAGGCACAGTCTTCCCAGTTTCTTTCCATAGGGAAATCCTAAGTCCAAAACGGGAAAACATATGGCCTCTTACTTGAGTAATGGCAACGCTATGTAATAATGCCAAACAGACCAAAATGTAATTGTGGAACAATATCCCGGCAAGATACTTGTGCATTTGTTGAAGAATTAATAGGCCATTAACAATGATCACTCACTTCTGGCATTTCAACCCTTGTACTGCTGCCTCAGAGCTTTTCTCGCCTCTGAGATTTAAGTTAAGCCGTGTTGTTTTCTCCACCCCTCAAAAGGCATAGTGGTTATAATGTTCAGATGAAATTTTCACCAGTCTCTAAGGAGTCCTACATAAGAACCAATTACATGAAGATTCATGTCATGTAACTCTCCATATCCTGTTGCATAAGTGTGCCCTAGAAATATTTTTGCTTTCAATCCGAACCTGCCAGTTTTGATGGAACTACCACACATGTTGCTTAGATGAAGAATTTGAAGAAGATTGCTCCCACCAGTTTTATAGATTCTGTAAACCGAACTATACCTGAAACAACATGGGGCTGTAACCCAATTTTTAGCCGCTGATTGGAGCATAAGATTGGCAATTTAATAGATCTCTAGGGATCAATCAGTAACGAGTGATTATTATTTTTCAGTGTGAATGGTTGCTGGGTGATCGAAAACCCTCCCCTGAGGAGTTAGATAAAGGCATTGACACTGAAAGCCCATTATTTCAGGCCATCCTGGACAATCCTGTTGTACAGCTAGGACTGATTAATCCTAAAACACTACTTGGTAAGTTTTCTTCAAATGATTTGATCTATCAAGCAAGGCTAGAGTTCAAACAGTTGTTTTCTTTTTTTTTATCTTTGTCATTTTCTTCTCCCTTTAGTTTCTGCCAGCCTTTTCTCTAGAGAGAAAAGTTAGTTGCTTCCCGATTTGCTTTCAACAGTGCCAGCGCTCCGCTCTTTTCCCCCAAGTTCGTATGCATGTGTCTATAAGATATAATAAGTGTTGACATGCTATTTGTCAGCCAGCCTTGGGGCCATCCTGATGCATGCGTGCACATTTTAACAGATCAACAACCAAGTCCTGCCTGATTTCTTTTCCCGTTAGCAAATAATGAATCACCAGATTTAAGAAGCAGATAAGGAAGAATTTTTGAGTGGTGAATCTGTGAAATTCTTCACCACAGTGAAAATGTACCATGGTGGGTTGTGAAATGTATCCACAGCTAAGATAGATCGATTTTATTTTTTTAATGTATCAATAAAGGAATCAAGGGTTATGGGGATAAGGCAGGAACATGGAGTTGAGGTTTATCGGATCAGCCATGACTTCATTGAGTGGCGGGGCAAACTCAATGGGCCATATGGCCTATTTCTGCTCCTGAGTCTTTAATCTTATGGACATTAGTGGCACCTGTATGTCGATTTTGGGAAAGAGATGCAGAGTTAAAGTTTCAGGTTAGTGACCTTTTGTCAGTTCTCTATCACAGATTCTGCCAAACCTGATGACTATTTCCAGCATTCTTTGCCATTTTTTTTTTTCAGAGATTCACCAATTGTTTAGCACGTGTTTTTATTACTGGAGCAGGAATGTTTCACTGCACATTGAAGTGTAAGATTTTCAAATGTGGGCTTGGGGAATGTTCAATATGCACTTCATGTTTCCCATAAATGGTCTCAATTTACATTTAAAACACAAGGTAGCAGCGGAACTAATATGTTCAGAGGGCAGTCTGCGGCAGTCGCTGCCTGTGTTACAGTAGTATTGGTCAATTCATGGAGCTAAAGGAGTGCTCATGTTTTTGAGTGAAGTGAGCCTTAGTGTGAAAAACTGCATGAATCATGTGGATGCAAACATAAGTCTCCCTGTGGACATCTGCTCATATGGAGTACAACACTGGCTGTGCTTGTGCTCCTGATTTTTTTATGGCAGCTGTTGACGACTACCTGACATTTGAAGCAGCCCAAGTGCCATAGTTAACATGAGGGAAATTCATATAGGATTATTTGAGATGTACCTCTTCTAATGTTAGAAGAGCTTTTTTTAAAAAAAAAAAAAAAAATCTGTTATAAAACAGAAAATGCCGAAGAAACTCGGCAGGCCTGGCAACGTTTGTGGTGAGAAATACAGTTAATGTTTTGAGTCCAATGTGACTCTTCCAAACAAAATAATCTGTGCTACTTTGTTGCATTTGCACTGTTCTTGAGTCTGTATATTTGGGTCAGGTCTGTGGACTTCCATAGTGTTGTCAACAATGATACTCTATAAATGCTACCTTGCAACACCAGCTGGATTCTCTTCATGCAAGATACTGTGTAGGAGCCAATTGAACTAGCAGAGGTCAGTGAACAAGCATTCATCATCCTCTGATTTTCTGAACAAAAGTATAACATTTAAAAGTTCCTTTTCGGCTGGAAAAGGAAGAAAGGTTGTTGACTGTCATTTCACTTATACTACAAAAGAGGCTGCAGCCTTACTGGGGAAAGGAGCTATCTTTTGCTTTATAAAATGCCTAGCTCTGTTTCTCCAAGCATTTGATTGCTCTGAATTGTTTCTGCCCTTCGCCCACCAAGCCTAAGGGGATTCTGAACGAGTTTTGCTCACACTTTTACATCTTGAGTTTCTGGGAGGGGGTCTACTTAAGTCTTCCAACAGCACCATTCTAATGAAGCAGTGACTTTTTCCACATGTAGCATGCTGTTTGGGTTTCTTTTCTGGAGAATTTGGTTATTGGTCCATTTCTATTACAAAGGGAAGTGCAAAAGCAACATGGTATGTTGTCATGTATCTTAAATTTGCTTTTTTTAAATAATTCATACAGATTAATTGAGCTTGAGAATTGCAAAATGACTGATCACAAATGTATTAAAAGATAAAATTCATTTCATGGTTGGAACATAGTTCATGGTTTTCAATCAAATTTTGCTTTTAAGATTATTTTGAAAGGTAATATTGTTCTATGCAGTTATCTGTTGTAGAATTTCATTTGTATCATGCTACCATTCAATTTATTTTTCTCCCTTTCCCCCACCCACCCCCACCAATGTGATCCCCTCTTGCAGCATTTGAAGATATGCTGGAAAATCCGTTAAACAGCACTCAGTGGATGAATGATCCTGAGACAGGTCCTGTGATGTTGCAGATTTCTAGAATCTTCCAGACTCTGAATCGCACATAGGGCAATTGCTCCGTTCTGACAGAAAAGCTTCCAGCTGCTCATCTGCAGAAAAGGGGTGCCATCTCCTGAGAAGAGTGTTTGTGGATTATTCACTAGTGGACCCTGTTTGTACTTGATATGGGTAGCTTGCAACAACATCCACTTAACTACTGTTGCCTTTGGATCTAGTGCTTAACGGCCTTGATTTGAGGTTTTTAATTTAAAGTAAATGCTGTTAGTAAATTGCACAGAGTTTGAGACACAAAAGAGAACGCTTATAAAAAAAACAAACAGTAATCCCATTTTGGGGAAAAGGCAACAATTGTGTCTCGTGGCTTTTGGATTTGAGAACAGCCAAAGAATAAAGGGATTCGGCATGATGTCAACTAATTAAATGATAATTGTTTGACTGTCTCAATTTTGGAACTCTGTACCTCTTTGAAAGAAGCAGAGAACGGTGTTTTGGTAAACAGGGGTATAGACTATCCTTTAAATGCACTGAAGCAAACTTGAAAGAACCTTAATGTGGGAAGCAGTAACACACTTGGTTATCAAGGTTCTTTGTCTGATAAGAACCTCAGCATTAGCAGTGATGTATTGAAGGAGCCAATCCTGCAGTGCTGCAGTGATTGCAAATAAATGGATATGCTTTAAGTAAATGAGGGGGTTTCGGTCTCATCGCTACACAAGTCTAGGTTCTATTTGATGCACCTGCAACATCAGAGAATGGATTGTGCTTTGTTAGGAGACTTAGAATGCTCCTTCTACTGATTGTTTTCTTTCAAAAAGAAAGCAAAGGCAAATCTCATAATGTAAAGAAATGTTTCTTTTATAGCTTTGGAGAGAAGCCACTTTCTCACTACAATACCTTGGTGCTCATTACCACTGTGTATAAAGAATCTATAAATGTTGATTTTATACAGCAGTCAATTTGGAGATCTTGTACAGATAAATTTTTACTTGTGATAACCCAGATGTTCTACATACCAACCTGCAGTCAGGGGAATGAGGAACTAAAGCTAAAACCAGGAGGTAATATGTATGATGAAGGATTTGTCCACTGGAATTGATTATTGCCATTGGCAATTGAGGAAGTTTTACTTTACTACAATTGGTGAGGTACTAAAATTGACATCAAGGATTTGAATACTAGTGGACTGCTCTGTATATTAAAAGAAAGTGATTTGGTTGCTGGGATTTTCCTCAATACCAGAGTATCTAAAAGCAGTAAAATTTTACTAAGGATCTCTAACTGAGACTCCATCAAAATAAAGAGACCAGGAGGAAGAATCGCTTTGACCTCTGTGTAGTGAAAACTGTAAGCTTCTTCTAGAAAGAGTTGACGGTGGCACAACACGTAGGGGACAAAAAGCAGTTCTTCCCTGCAGTACTTGCTTGTGTTTTATAAGTGTTCTCTTTCTTAAAAGAATTGTACTGAAACCATCAGGGGTTGACTATTTTAAAGGCAACTTCACTGTAATCGGAGTGTCCGATTAAAAGACTTCTTGGGTTTGTATTTAGCATGTGAGTCTAGTGATGCTTTAAAGACGAGGCCAAGTGGTGCAGTGAAGATTTTTTTTGGAGTATTTATTTTAGCTGAAAAAATTGTCATAAGTTTTTTTGCGTTAAAGGAAGTCATGCCAGGCTTGTAATTAGCTGGCTGCTTTTTAAAATTTGGTTGACTTGCTTTTAATTTCTGGGTTTTTTTTTTGTTTTGTTTTGTTTGAAAAGAATTTTCAATTTCATTGCCATCATCACTGTTGTAGTGAACAGACCAGCCAACCTCCTTCCAAATTTACTCCATCTAGATGTGGTTACCCAGGAGATGGCAGTCACTGCCTGAAGTGCAGTTTTAAATTGATGCCCAGTATTATTAACTATGATTTGTGCAATGTAAAAACAAAAATTGATTGCAAGACTTCAGGAACTGAAATATCACGGTTGGCTGCACTGCTTCCTGACATCACAGATTGGAGTATTTTCTCATTCTACTGTTACCGACTTAACCACACTTAACCAAATTCTACTTAGAATTTTTTTCTTAGAGATTTCCTTCCCCCTTCCTCCAAAAGATACTGATTGGTTGTTTGGCATTCTCCATGGATGCCTGACTCCCTTGTGTGCCTCATCAAAGTGACAATCATTCATGTCTGAGTCCAGACCAGGCATGTCAGGCCGCAAATTCAGGTGTAAATGGGTGGTTGTGAGGGATTTTTGCAGCATTTTGTTTGGACATTGCTGGTTTTTCACTTGACCAATTTTCTGAACCATTGCAGGGATTCATCATAAGCTGTGTGTGTGTGGATCCTTTCATTGAGTAGCCTGAGCCGTACAATTTAAATAGCTGCCCGGTACAATTCCCAATTTGTGCCGTGTAATGTATTTTCACCTCTGGAGCTGCGTAAACCCTAGCAGTGTGTTTTAAGCACTAGTTCATCAGAGGAAATTGAAACTATTTCACCATATCACAAATATCTGCATGTGTGAGTTACTCTGCTGTGTCAGTCTGCCAAGTTACATTTTTAAATTATTACCCTTTTCCTTCACTTTAAAATTCATGTTTTAAATACTCAGGAGCAAAAATAAACAGTACAATCCTATCCTTTCATAATTCCACAAATGATATCCATTGATCATACAGTCATACAGCATGGAAACAGACCGTTTGGTCCAAATTGTCCACTCCGCCCAGACATCCCAATCTGACCTAGTCCCTTTGCCAGCATTTGGCTCATGTCCCTCTAAACCTTTTCTATTTATATATCCATCCAGATGTCTTTTAAATGTTGTAATTGTACCCAACTCCACCACTTCCTCTGGCAGCTTGTTCCATAGATGCACCACCCTCTGTGTAAACAAGTTGCCCCTTAGGTCCTTTTCATATCTTTCCCCTCTCACCTTAAACCTATGCCCCCTAGTTTTGGACTTCTTTACCCTGGGGAAAAGACCTTGGCTATTCACCTTATCCATGCCCCTCATGATTTTATAAACCTCTGTAAGGTCACCCCTCAACCTCTGACAATCCAGGGAAAAATGCCCCTGCCTATTCTTTGGTGATTACCGAGCTTTGGTTTGGATCATGTAATGTTAATTCTCCTATTCCCTTTTGCATAAAGCAGTTGAGCTGTAAATAGCCAACTTTGACCTTTGCCAGAGATATATGCATGAATACTTGAAGCTTAGTCTCTTATTGTGGATCAAGTGATCCACAGTTCAGCTTCGATATAGGTGATCTGTCATCTTTTGTTTTGTACAAGTCAGAAGAGCAGTCCTTTCATCTGCACAGTTTACTGTGATCTGTCTCTGTAAGTTAAATTCCTGTTGTGTGTGTCATTACTAAAATTATTCATGTTAAGCCAGTAGATCTGTCACGCCTGACCTACTCCTGGAATGTGTAGAGTTGGATAATGTTCCCTATTATGACATGTTTATCTTTTCAAATTTGAAAGAGTCAAAACCTATTTGGAAATGGCTCATCAATATCCAGTGACAAGCTTTTATTACCACAGAGACACAGGTTACAAAAAATTAGTAGTGCTGTATTGAAAGAAATGAAATGTTTGAATCTTGTATTACCATATTTCACCTCTTACCAAGTAATTGTTTAGTGGAAACTTATCAGTCTGTAACTGTAAATGGACTCAGACATTTTTTCTGTATTTTGAACATTCTGACTTTTACTGCCTTTCGCTTGCTGATTTCCTTGCTGTGCGTTTGATTATAATAGTCAGCATAAAGAGATTTTGCTCCTGCAGCAAATGGATGCTGCGATTAGCTTCTGGCATCAATTCCCAGTAGCGTAGAACCTGCTACTGCAAGGCAGAACAGGGGACGGGGAGAGGTTGGTGAGAGTCATTAACGTTTTAAAAGACACACTTAAAACTGATGCTGTGTCCTGCCTATCTAAAGCTAAACTGCAGGAAACTATAGCGCATCTAAGATGAAACCAAACTGCAGTCCTCAATGGATGAAATTGTAGATTCAGCTGGTAAATTGGTAATGTGAAAGGCAGGTTAATTTTCCTCATGTGCTGATGCGTCTATTCTAGTTTTTATTTGATTTCCAGAATTCTTTTGTGCATCCTATTTCAGAGGTAAAACTTTGAACGTAGTGGGTGGGTGAGGGAAAGGAAGCAAGTTTTTCGTTTGTTTGTATTCAGTTAAATGTATCTGAGCTGCCAAGAGTGGATGTCAATTGTATTACATAAACAGGTGTTTTTGCTACTGCCTTCAGATTCAATGGCACAGTGGCATGCTTGACGCCAACCCTGATCTGACAAGTTCACTTTTGTCACTTCATTCATCAGTGCAACTGGAGTTGCTCATTAGACACAAGCCAAGTTCATTTTGCAACCTGAGACCAACCAAAAAAAAAATGCTGTATGTTCCTTGAGATATGGTGTGTATTTATGCTAATTTTTATGTATTAAATTAAAAGCTAGTGTTTCTGGTGACTGTCCTGCTGAAGCTGGTCTCTTGTTAGGTTAAAGAATCTACATTTGATTTAATTAAAGACAGCAATTTGAAATCATCATGGTTGCCTGCCGTTCAGCTTGGAAAGACTGGAGCTATTACGTTTTGTTGTCCCTTGTTAAGATTTCCTGTCCCCAGCTACACACCAGCACTGATCAAGGCTGCACATGGCTTGGATATACTGTTAACCCTAGGCTTAAGCTTGTAAAGTCACATCCCAGTCATGTACAAAACCACTCACTACCCCCTCCATAACCCCTTCAGGTCTTTGTTACCTCCAAACCCATTAAGCAGGAACTGAACTAGCAAGTTTTTTAAAAAAAAAAAATTAGATGCAAGAACAGGTCAGAGGCTAGGAATCTTGTAGTAACTCCTCTCCTGACTCCTCAAAGCCTGTCCACCATCTACAAGTCTGAAGTGTGATGGAATATTCTCCACTTGCCTGGATGAATGCAGCTCCAACAACGCTCAAGAAGCTTCATGCAATCCAAGACCAAGCAGCCTGTCTGATTGGCACCGCATCCACAAACATTCACTCTCTCTACCGCAGACGTCAGTAACAGCATTATGTATCATCTACAAGATGCACTGCAGAAATTCACTCGGCTCCTTAGCACTTTCCAAACCTGTAACCACTGCCATCTAAAAAGGATGAGGACAGCAAATACCCGGGGACATTGTCACCTGCAAGCTTCCCTCCAAGCCACTAAACATCCTGATTTTATATATAGATTGTACTCTTTGCTGCATCAGGCTCTTGTAACTCCCTCCCTGATGGCATTGTGGGAGTACCTCCAGCAAATGGATTGCAGCAGCTCACTACCATCTTAAGGGCAACTAGGGATGGCCAATAAATGCTGGCCTAGCCAGCAACGCCCACATACTATGAATTTTTTTTAAAAGTAGCTATTTGCAGTATTGGTTCTGATGTATAGAGGCAAATGGTCTTATTTGAGGTACAGTACTTAATGGAGTTTAATGTGTACATTGGGGCTATGATTTTTTTTAATGGAGTGGCCTTTAGCCAAAGTGTACAGTCATGCTAGCTAATGTAATCTCAGTGGTTGGAACAGTTTAGAAGTTGTGCCAGTCTGCACTTATCCAGTGATAGAGACAAAGTGTGGAAAATCTGACTGCTGCACTCAAGGGAAGGTATAGTGTGAATCAATGTAAGTGGATCTGTGCTGGTGGGCAAAATACCATAATAAAGCTCAAATATTACGCTGGGTAGAACATTACAGCGCAGTACAGGCCCTTCGGCCCTCGATGTTGCGCCGACCTGTGAAACCAATCTGAAGCCCATCTAACCTAAACTATTCCATTATCATCCATATGTTTATCCAGTGATCTAGTGATCAATGTAGCACCTATTGATGTTAGTAGCTTCTCAAATTATGGGGATGTGTTTTGTTTGCTTTTAAAAATGCGCATTGTACCATTTACACTTCTAAACATGCCATCCTGCAGACATCCTTTCCTCCTTAACATCTCTCAAACGCTGGTTGCACCATCTCCAACTTTAACATATCCTTTTCACCACCCTAACATTTGCAGGCTTTTGGGAAAAGAAATGATGTAATCCAGCTAGTACTTGCTTATTTTTCTTTATCTTCCCCTCAACTTTAGAATATTTAGCTCTTCACTTGGGCTTCCCACATTTTCTGTTAACACCTCTATTCAATCGATTCATGTTTTCTGTGGCACTAATGGCAAAATGGTTATCGCTTGGTTAAATGCGGATCTTTCAGAAATAGAAGTGTGTACATCCTTGAAGCAGAAGAATGGGATTAATTGAATGACATCCCAAAAGCATATTTACATTCCCTGCCTTGTTAGTTTTGTGGGACATTGACTTTGACTGTGGTATGCGTGCCATACTGCCTTGCTTTGCTCAGATGGGACATGCTAAACTGAGGTCCTAATCTCCAGTGAAAAAGATTCCATTGTGATACTTTGAACAATGTTTGGGAATTCTCCCCACTTTTCTAGCTGATATTTATGCCTTAACCAACATATTTTTAAAGTGCCAAATTGGATTGTGAGA